TGTCAAAGATCTGTCATGGGAAAAATTCAGGATGAACTTAGATATGGAGAAGGATCGTCTGAAAATGAAGCTTCGCAAATCAATACATAATTCTAATACTACAATGGAATGCTCGAAGTTTAATAGCTAAYGGACAGGAATTTAAAGGTTTCATTAACAAATTAAATACAAAACCAGACATAATACTGTATGTATTCAAGAAACATGGCTAAAATCATCATTGCAATTTTGTATTCATGGTTATGCAGTTTTACGCAATGATAGATAGAATAAATGGAATTGGAGGAGGATGCGTTATACTTATAAAGGAAAACATAAAATTTATCCAAATGCAAATAAATACTGATCTTGAACTTAATGCGCTTAAAGTTTGGACAAAAAATGGAATTATTAAAATAAAAAATTATTATAATCCTTGTAAGAAAATGCAGAAAGCAAAACTTGAAACAATCCTTAGACACTGGAGAGGGAAAATAATTTGGTGTGGGGATTTTAATGCATTTAGTACTTTGTGGGGGGATCAAGATGATTATAATGGGGGGATCCTAGAAGAAGTGATTGAAGAAATAGAAATGGTAGWGTTAAATAATGGTGTAGGCACCAGGGTAAATTTGATAAGAGGTAAAGAATCAGCCATTGATCTGACACTGGTATCACAATCTTTGGTAGACAGTTGTGACTGGAGAATATATAAAAATAATACTATAGGAAGTGATCATTATCCAATTTTTATTGAAGTAGAAATGGATACAGAAGAACAAGTAGTAAGTCAAGGGAAATGGAGATTTGGGGATTCAAACTGGGAAAACTAAAAAAAAGTGAGGCTAATATGGTAAATATAGATATAAATAAACCAGTAAATGAAGTAAATTTAGAAATTTGTAATGKTATTGTTCATGCAGCAAAAACAATCATTCCTAGAAGTAAAGGGGTTAAAAAGAAGAAGATAGTTCCTTGGTGGACACTAGAGTGTTCAATAGCAATTAAAACAAGAAACAAGGTCTGTAAAAATCTTAAAAATATATATTTGTATCGAAAATCTAATAAATTATTTAAGAGAAAACAAGCAGAAGTCAGGAAGATCATAAGAAATGCTAAGAGGGTTTATTGGAGAAAATATTGTGAGTCATTGGGGAAAAACACGGCATTAGACAGGGTTTGGAATACCATTTAGAAAATGTCAGGTAAATCAAAAGAATACTTCTTCCCAGTAATAAAAGATAATGGTAACACTATAATAGATAATAAAAACAAAGCAGAATTATTAGCAAGAGCATTTACTAAGATACATAGTATGGAGAATCTTAGTAATACTGAAAAAAAAAAGGACGAGAAACGACATTAAAAAACCGAAATGAATTGCTATATAATGATGAAGATGACGAGAATATAATGAATATGAAATTTTCTTTAATAGAATTAAATAGAGCATTAAAAAACTTGTAAATCAACGCCTGGGGAAGATCAAGTTAATTATATTATGTTAAATAGTGAAAAAAGTAAGGAGATATTATTAGAAATGTATAATAAGATATGGGAAGAAGGAAATCTACCAGATAAATGGAAAGAAGCTATCATTATTCCTATCTGTAAACCTGGTAAAGATCCACATTTAGCTGAGAGTYATAGGCCGATAGCATTAACATCTTGTATTGGTAAAGTGATGGAAAAAATGGTGAATAAAGATTAATATATTTTCTGGAATCTAAAGAGAAGCTTAAACCATTTCAATTTGGATTTAGAAAAAGTAGAAGTACAATAGATCCTGTACTTTGTTTGGAACATGAAATTAGGAGGGCACAGGTGAATAAAGAAGTCTTGATAGCAATCTTTTTAGGTATAGAAAAAGCACATGATATGTTGTGGAAAGCAAACCAAATAGGTTTAAGGGGTAAAAATATATTGATGGATTAAAATTATTTAACTGGAAGCAATATAAAAGTTAAAATAGGCAATGAAATAAGTTCAAAACATCAAATTGWAAACGGTACTCCTCAAGGAAGTATAATAAGTCCCATGTTATTTGTTATAATGATTAATGATATTTTTAGTAAAATAGATAAATATTTTGGAGTGTCGTTATTTGCAGATGATGGCCTTATTTGGAAAAGGGGGAAAAAATCTAAAATTTGTAAGTAAGAAAATGCAAGAGGCAATACATAATGTAAAAAATTGGGCTTTAGAATGGGGATTTAGAATTTCAATATCTAAATCTAAGTTCATTACTTTTACTAATGGAAAATAAGTACTAATGTAAGTCTTAAACTGTATGAGAATGATGTAGAAAGGATAGATCAGTTTAAATA